AAAGACCCAACACTGACTCTCGAGTAAGTTTCATGCCTAACACATCTTTGTCTGCACAAGAAATTGACTTGCACGTAACTCACGGATGTCTTTCCTCTCAGGTCAACACACCTGTCCCACGTTCTTCAGAGCCGACCACTTCGCCGCCCAGGAACAAGCAGACTGCCATCCAACTTGCAACTTTTTCCTCTGCTTTGTGATTGTCTACTCTGCAAAAGAAATAAAGCTTGATTACAAAGAACACTTAAACTCTCAACTTCATTTTTAAACACATCATCACAATCTAACTTTAAAAAAACATTTTTAAAAACAACCAAAATTATTTTCCGTTTTTTTCTAAACTTTTTTCAAAAAAAATTTTTTTCCTGGATTTTTTTTTCCAGGCAGAAAAATCCAGGAAAGTAGGTGTGGCCTGGCCGGAATGAAGGCCGATGATTCGCTGATGGCCGTGAAAGTGGGTGGAGCGCAACGGTAATGTGTTGCGATTGGTGGAAAAGGGGGCGTTGTTATGCAAATGAGGTCTCCTCTGATTGGCGGGCACCTCGAGGGGCGCGGATATGTAAATTTGGAGCGATCTGATTGGGCGAATCCTGGAAAGTGGGCGTGGTTATGCAAATTAGACCGTTCTGATTGGTTATGCAAATATATGCAAATAAGGGCTTCGCTGCGATTGGTGGATGCCAAATTGGGTGTGGTTTTGGGCGGGCATTGCAGCACTTTGTCAAAGTTCCACTTGAGTCTTGAGCTCAGACTTGCACTTGGGTCACATCAGACAGTCTCTTCACTGTTCCCATGGGTTTCGCATGACCCAAAAGCTCAATTCCTGGAGTTTCGAGTCATGTGGAGACCAACGGGAACAGTGAAAAGACTGTCTGATGTGACTGAAGCGCAAGTCTGAGCTCAAGACGTCAGTCTTTGAAAAGGCTTCGAGTGAGATGAGGATGGATTTAGTCATTAAGGCAAAGACTCAGATTCAAGTTGAACAATTTATTGGACAGAAAAGCAAACATGACAATGTAAAAGCATTTGACCAGTCATTCTTTGTGTGGGACAGTTCAAGTTGCACACACACAAACACTGACGGCAGGCCCGAGATGGGACCATGTGCTTGACCAGCTCACACGTGACGGCACTGGCATCTCATGACACACCAAGGGGGACATGAGCACGTCCGACATCTCTCACTGAGACAAAAACTAAGTGCCGTGTACTCCACAACAACATGATCACACTCTTCTGGTCAAGTTTTTAAATGACATTGAAGTGGGCCAAGGTAGTCATATGTATGTTTGTGTATATATATATATATATATATATATATACTAACTTGGTCCACCTCAAGGTTTAAAAACATATTGTAGAAGTCCTTGATCATGTGTTCGGGTTGTCAATGTGTAGTTGACACTGTTGTGCAGTACACGAAGCA